TGCAGTATGATAAGGAAGATAATACAAGAGTAATATTCATTTAGTGTCTGACCTGGATAAAGAGAATAAGGAAAAGATATCATAAAAGAAGAAAAAGATAATAGAGATTCAGCCTATTAAGATAAGAATGAAGTTGGCAACAGCTATCATTACATAGATCTATTTTCTATCTAAAAATCTTATTACTGTGATCTCTGAAAGATCACCAATATTTGGGATTATTGTTGTATTAGTCAACTTCCCATTGCTATGACAAAATACCTGAAGAAGTAAGTTAATATAAGAGAAGATTTACTTTGCTTCACAGTTTTGGAGATTTCACCCCATGGTCACTTGGCCTCATCATTTTGGGCCTGGGACAAGGCAGAACATCATGGCAGGGAGCTCATGATAGAGCTGTTCACCTGGTGGTGGCCAACAAGAAAGAGAAGTGAGAGAGGAAGGGAGGGAGGAAGGGAGAGCCAGGAAATGCAGCAAGGAGTGAGGCTACTACTATCCTATTGTAGAGCACATTCCCAATGATAACTTTCTTCTACCAGGTCCCACCTCCTAAGGATTCCACCGTACCCTGCAGCATCACAGGCTGGTGGCCAAACCTTCGACACATGAGACTTTGGAGGGTCACTGCATATCCAAGTCGTAACAATCCCTACAAACATTAGACTTAATTTTAAAAAAAGTTATTGGTTTTATATCATTGAATTCTCAATCCAATGAAATTCTGAGCCAGGCAGTCTTCAGCAAAGGTTTATTTTCTTGTGTAAGCCATTCAGTCAAAGTAGGCTCCTTCTCCTGTCACCCTGCACCAAGACCAAAGCAACATGGAGGAGTTAGGAAAAAATAAATAAAAACTACAGAAAAGTCACAAGTAGCCAGAATTCTCCTATTCCAAGGTAGGCCCACTTATAGAGCCTTGATAGCTACCTGATATCTTTACAAAGGATGATTAAGCAGAAGGAATACCTAAGAATCAGATGAATGGTCACAAAATCTCTACTCCATAACTTGTTTCCTCTCCCTCTTTTTCATTATACTTGTTTTTATTTAACTCTGTTGGCAAAAGAGAGACAGACAGACAGACAGAGAGACAAAGAGAAAGAGAAAAACAGAGAAAAGAAAGAAAAAGATTTAAAAATTGCATAGGTGGAGAATGTTGTACGAAGCAGTAAATATTTTAAAGAAATTAATAGAATATGAAGTTATCCTTTGTCTCTAAAGTGAAGTCATCTTTGTCTTTTCTTATTCATACGTAAATGACAAAAGTGAAGTTATATGCCCATATCCATATTCAAGACATAGTACATCCTGCCTGAATTTTCTGTATTCAGTAATGGGTATTTGCAAAAGAAGTCAGCAGCCATGTGAATGCTTTCTATTTTAATTGCACTCTGTAGCACTATAAATCCTTTAATTGTTTTGTCTCCCACTGAAGTATCTCAAACAAAAACAGAATTTTCTAATTAACTCACTGGAGACTTATAAGAATATAATGGTGATAACCTGTTCTTGTTTTGTCATTTAAAAGTAATTAAACAAAAGTTCCTTGTTTAGAAAGAGATCAGGGTCCGATATATATTTTAAAAGTTATATTTTTGGTATTTTACTGGTACCAGTAGTTGAAAAGTTAAGTCGTGGGGGGTAATTTGGAGCTGGTAGCTTTAAAAGTTATAAAAGCAGATATATAAAGCAAGTGAGAAATTTTGCAGCTATTAAATAAAGGAATGCTATTTCAGTATCTCTTATCCTTAACTCCACTTTTTCAAATATCTTTTAAAAACCACATTTTAAGAGTTTCAATATTGATGTAGTAAAACATAAGACAATTTGATACATACTTTTTACCAGTAATATATTACCTATACAGTTTAGACTTCAGTTGATTTCATTAGCTATCTCTTATTATTGAAATTTATCACAAAATTAGTTAATTACCCAGAAAAAGGTTTTCTTAACTTAAAATTAGATAATCAAACTACTTGGAAAAGTGCAATAAATATAATCTTTTTTTCAGTTAGATTATGCAAATTATGAAATTCAAGTTACAATTTTCTTTTTTTTTCAAGTTGCAATTTTCTTAATTTCCTAATAGGAAAGAGAAGTGTGGAATCTCTTTGAAACAGTTTTATTCATAATGAACCAATATACTTGAAACATTTGATTTATGAAATTTTAGTTGGATTCAAATTTAAAATGATGAAATTAGTTAAGTAAAACTACAAATGCCACCTATGTTCCTTAGAAAAACAGAATCTCAGACATGAGAAAATCCTAAATTTTCTGATCTCAAAATTTTTTTTCACATCTTATTGGTATACAATCCTATATTTATATATGTAAAAGTAACATAAACACATTCATATTTTAATCTTCAGACATCTTTTCCACAATATAATATTATTCCCATTATTCAGATAAAAGACTAAGAAGGGAGTTAAATGGATTTGCATGCCAAAACTCAAAGCACAGGTCTTATCTCTTAAGTCCAAATGTGGCCTTTGTTCATGTGAAAATATTCTATTAGCCTTAACATAGCATGGGTGTTTCTCAGCACGTGGTCCCCCGCTCGGCCTTATTGGCATCATACAAGAGTTTAGAAGCTCAAACTCTTGGGGCCTCACCCAAAAAGATCAGAATCAGAGAGGGGGAGGTAAAGCCCAGCAACCTATATTTTAACAAGATTTCTGATGGATTCTGATGGGTCCCAAACTTTGAGAACAGGTGTTACAGACTTTCATTTTTCTCTGACTCTATCAAAATGTTACATCTAGAGCAGTCTCACGGTGTCATAGATTTTATTCATTTTTGAGGTGATGGAATTTGGTTTTTGTTTGTTTGCATTACGGGGTCTAAAACAAGCCTTCACTCATCCGAATCCTCTACAGACAATCTACATTCCCAGCTAGGTCACCAGTGTTGAGTAAGGGTTTTTTAAGGTATATAAAAAAGATCAGCCATTATTGAATGTGTACCACCTGGCAATATTTGTCTATGTACTTTCACTCCTTGAATCATCAAATAAGCCCCATGAGATGGGTCTCCCTACTCTTCACCTAAGCATGGAGAGCTTGGGTGATTTCCCTGAGGGTCTTTGAGACTAAGGGTAATGTATCAGTTACTTTCTTGTCGCCATGACACTGCACTGACACAACTCTAAGGAGGAAAGGTGTTTCTCACAATTCGCAGAAATTGCAGTCCATAGTAACTGACTTCATGACAGAAGGGCGCAGCAGAGGAAAAAGAACTCATGGCCTGGTGGCAGGAAGCAAAGGGAACAATCAAGAGAGAAGGGAAGAGACAGACTTTTGCTGGCCATGCCCCCCCCCCCGCCCCATCACCCACTCCTCCTACCAGGCTTTACCTCCTAAAACGCATTTAGCTATAAAGTCTTCAATGCATCCCTTCATGATCCAATAACCAACCAAAAACTCTGCCACGAGCACATGAGGCTTTGAGAGGACATCTGTATATAAACCATAACAGGTAAGGAACGGGAAGAAGTGGAATTTGAGAAGCCATGCACTTAGCATTCCATCTAGCACAGAATCTGAGGATTCATGTGTTCAGCAGTATTCATTAAGAGAGCACTGTGTGGTGCAATGGGAAACGCATTAAATTTTGGAGTTTGACATACCTGGAGTTGAAGCAACCAGTCACTTAATAAAAATACATTTCAACTATGGGTGAGAGACTAAGCAAACTGCTTCTAGAATCCAAATGTGTATTGTGAACTAGTAAGTTGAAATATTTCTTTAAAGTTTATTTTCCTGAAATAGTCTTCTTCTTCAGGCTAACATGAAACATGAAATACTAAAGAAAAAAAGGTGCTACAAAATTGTTACGCCTTAAAAACTTATAAAAAGGTAGCAATATATAAGAAATCTAATTGGATTACTATTTTCCCACTGGCAAAGATATATTTTATTGTTCCCAAGTGTTTTCATTCTGCAGTCTCCATGTTCTGAAAAACACTTTTCCACCTAAGAGAGCAAAGGCACAGATACTTTACCCCCCAAAAATCAGCTTATATCAAAATATGGCTTTGCACAAGAAGACAGAAAGTCTTTAATAGCCTCCACCTGTTATTTTTATTTGCATTTTATTTTATCTACACAACCACCAAAGTGATCGTTTAAAATATATAAAAGATACATAATAGGAAGTGGGGAGAGAGATTTTTCCCAAATGGAAAGGTGATCAAGAGATGGAGGGAAAGGGGATGAAAAAAGAATTAAGACATGTTACGTACATGTATCAACCAACTCCGCACAAGGAATGGAATCATTATGTCCTGCCAATACATACTAATAAAAAACAAAAACTGGAAAAATATAAACCCAGATCATTTCTCTAAATCTCTCAGTAGAGCTTTCTCATTGCACCTAAAATTTTATCGTTGCCTGTCATGGAAATGGCCTCAGGTCCTCTCACGTTGTCTGACCCTCCTGCCTTTGCTCCTCCTTCCTCCACCCTTATCGATTCTTTGCTGCTCCTTATACAAATCAAGCGGGGTCCTTTGCACTTGTTCTTTCTCTTACTCAGTAACTCTTTCCAGATGTTCACTTGATTTGCTCCCTGACTTGTCTGTACTTATACTTAATCTCCTCAGTGTAACCTTCCCTGAACCATCTTTTTGTTTTTGTTTTTGGTACCGGATATCGAACTCACAACCTTGCACTTACCTGACAGGTGCTTATGCCCCTGAGCTAAATCCCCGGCCCTCCTGAACCATCTTTAAAATAAAAATTTTACTCCATTGCTCTCTATCCTAAATCTATGTTTTTCTTTTTATCCTTAGGATTTTCACTTGTCTCCTGTTATTTATTCATTTGTTTGTTTTTAATTTTCTGCACTCCCCAAGGGAAGATAAACTCCCCATGAACCAAGACTTTGATACTATGCTATTTTTCTTACAGCTGGAACAATGCATGACACTGCTATATGATAGTTATTGTTAACTATTGTTAATTTTCTTCAACATCTTTATTTGTTTTGATATTCAGTATGCTGCAGAATAATCAGCTGAGACAGGTACCCACAGAAGCTCTGCAGAATTTGCGAAGCCTTCAATCCCTGTGAGTATTGCTGAAACTGCAAAACATTCCGATTTGATTTGGGTAGAACAAGGAAGTGTCCAACTGATTATTTCACTAGTCAGTGAAATAAACTGTGAGAGCCTATTACAGAAACAGTTCTTCATGTTTTCATTAATTACTATATAGGAGGTACTGGAATTTGAGGTTTGGACACAGAGACACAATTACAGCACCTGTGGTCAAAAGCCTCATTCGTGTGTATTGGTGTTTCAGGGAAAAACATCACTTTCTCAAACTTATTCAACATTCCCCTTAATATTTTTGTTTCTGAATTTCAAATACTACATTTTCTCTAGAAAAATGGACATCACATCTAGATATCTTGGCATCTTACATTTGTTTTATTTTTAAGCAGTCTGAGCTGGTTTGTGATCTAATTTTGCTTAATCAAATAAAGACTGAATATTTTACATTTTGCATATACATTAGGGATCTTAAAATCAGGAAACTAAGATCTTTTGGCATGTTCTGAATTGTTTAGTAGAAGTGCTTTACCTGGAGCTTCCCCATCGCCTCACCAAGTTAGGCATTCACAGATAACTCCACAGTCATCATATAATTTAAATTCATATATCACAGCACACATACACACACACATTCACACACACACACACACACACACACACACACTTAAATGTACAGTATTCCATCCAGTCTGATGTCCCCATACTTTCAATCCATTTCTTTTTCAGAGGTTTGCAACACACTGAAATATTTTTTAAAAATTGTTCCTCACAAAAACATCATTCTCAACAGCTAGAGTTTTAGAACTTTGATTGTAAGCAATTGTTTTTGGTGATTATGTGACAAGCCTATGCTACAGCTATTCTGTCAGGAAATCTCTGCAGAATGTGTCAGTGTTTGAAAGTTTGCGTGATTTCTAAAATACACCAGGGAAGTGTGTGTTCTAATATTACAGTTGAGATCATTGTCTGTCAAACAAAATACTACTTCCTGGTTTTGAATGATCAAAGACATAAATGCAATTTAAAAAGCAAATAAACATTGCAGATTATAGTTGAAAATATCCATAAAGAATACATCAATTTTTTTTAACAAAAAACTCATCGGTTAAGAATTACATACAATTTGCTTAATGGTTTCTATTGAGGTGACTCAAGAGAAGGGAGAACACGAGATTTGGAGATGATACTGTTTTCCTTTGATTTTTTTTTTTTTAATGAAAGGAAATCTGTGCTTGAGATCACTTTAAGGTCTCTTACACCAGTTAAACAAAGTGACTTCCTAGGTTCTCAGCAGTCTGTAGATAAACAAGCCCACAAGAGCCCCTTTTTGGCATGAGATGGGCCTGTTGCATTTCCAGGAGCCCCTTAATGACATGACAGTATCACTCCTCTTTTGTTGAAAAAAACCTTTACCTGAAGGAAAGAAGCAGCAGCTGAAAAGTAAAATAGCTTCAAGTTGGGCTGTCTGTAAAGGAACAGGGATCTAGTGGCTAAATAGAAATTGAGATAATGGTGATGGCCAGTAAGAACTTTAAACAGCTGGGAGGTAGGCTATAGATAGAAGGATAAGAGTTTGTAACCAAAGCCCCATCAGCTAAAAAAGATCACAAACAGAAGTGAACCCTTTGAGAAAGAGAAAACCATGAATCTTTTGTTCACTTGAATTGAGAGATACTTCTCTGATAGAGCTGTTCAGATTTAGTTTCTTGCAGTCCAGATATTTACTGTTCACCAGGTGTTTCTTCTTTTTGGTTTCTGGTTCACAAAAAGAATTGTGTTCTGAAACCTTATAAATGTATAAATATGCATATACAAATGTGCATCCCCTGTGAAAAGCTCCAGGAGTTCATTGTCTAGTGTGACACCACATCCAAACTGAAACATTCAGAGACACCCAGTCTCCAGTTGACACTGGATTGTCTCAAGTGGGTTATATAATGCTGGACAGAGTTTCCTTTGTCCAGAGCACACACAACCAGGGTACATTGAGGTGTTGGCAACACGTGCTGGTATGCCAGTGTTTCTCACTGATATTTTTATACTACTTTGATATAAAAAGTAAGACTTGCCAAAAAGCATTGCAGTCAGAAGATACATTCATTTTCCCACAAATGACTCAAATGTACCTTTCTTTATAGCAGAGTAGCACTCTGTTATATATAAAACCACTTTTTAATTTATCCATTCATCTGATGATAATAAGTTTGAGTCATTTGTAGGAAAATAGATACACTTTGTGACTGCAATGTTAAGTAAGATCAATCAGACACACACACTGAAATATCCATGGTTTCTCTTATATGAGGAGCAAAATAAAGGATAGATAAAGGGAAACAGAAAGATAGATCTTTTGCAGATAGTAAGGAACCACAGAGATGGAGGGAAGGGAAGGTAAAAGAATTCAGATGTGTTGGGCACATTTACCAATTCCCCAAGAAGAATGTAATCATCATTTACAGCAAATGTGTACTAATAAAAATAAATTTTAAAACATAGAAAATTTTTTAAAATTATTGTAAACCTAGACAACCACAGATCTGCAGGCTGTACTTGCCAGTTGAGGAAGCCTTCTACCCTAGGCATCCAGTAAGCCAGTTTCAGAGGTTTGGGACACAGCAAGCCCTTTAAAATTTCACCATTATCTCAGGTTTAAAATGGTTAATTGTATCTTTCCTATTTCCTTTAAGCAGTTCCAAAAGAAAAACATTAGTTTTGGATTTAATTGTCATCACAAACATGTATTCTACATCCATTCTCCATTAGCGTTCCAGGCTATACTTTAGCCTTTGTCCTACATCTGCATCAGTAAGAGTAATGATAAGCATAGTATCCATCTCTTCCATACATCTGGTAGCTGAAGACCCTCTATCCACTCGCCTTCCTCATCTTGGTCTAGAGTCAAACACTTAGGTTGTCGCTTAGCCTTTTTACCACACAATTCCTTTCTCCATTGTCTTGCATTCCCTTTATTTTCTCCTTACTTATTATTTTCGTTGTGTTGTATATTTACTCTGTAAGAAACACTCTGCACTTTTCAGGGTCTGCATGCTCAGTGTGCCCATACATGGCTGGTCTTGTAACTTTCTGCAGGGGTGCTTCCCAATGTTCACTGCAAATAATCATCTGGAAAAGCCCAAAACTTAGTTACCCCAGAACTACTATAATCAACATCACTGAGCATGGGGCCCAAGTACTGGGCTTTTTAACTGGCTTTACTGTATAGATATATGTGTTTATCATAAAGTGAAGATTAGAATACTGAATCTTACAGCACTCTCTACAACCTATTCTCCTGAATTTTTTTTAAAAACTGAAATAATAATAAAATCCATACTTTGCTAAGCTAATCATGTACATAGCATATAAAGCCAAGCATTGCCTTGTTTGTTTATAATTGAAAATAGCTCACATCTCCCATTAATACTACTGATAATCTAGGGGAAAATGAAGAGATCACATGCTGTGTCATGCTGCTATTCAAATGTGGTCTCTGGGCCAGCTACATCCACGCCATCCAAGCTGTGTGAAATCTGGGTCTCAGGCTGATCAATCTTAATAAAAAATTTTAATTTTAACAAAATCCTATGTGATTTGTATACAAAAATGCAGTTACAAAATTAAACATTTAGAGATATATTGACTAACCTGGTGGGCAAAAAACTAAAAACGGAAAACCTTTGCAATAGATCACTTGCATCCTTTGCTCCATGCATACAGACTTCGCTTCACTGAATGAATTTTAAGAAACACGAAATATTGCAATTGGTAACATTGCTGTGAGGAGGAGACAAATTGTACTCAAATTTCAGAGGTTTAATTTTCCATTGACTCCACGTAAACAATAAATGTTGTTCCTAATGAAAACACCTAGGCACATTTGTAGTTTTTAACTCTGTCCTGATGCTTACAAAATGCTTGGCTAAACAGTAAGGGCACAGACTCATGTGCTGGAGCCCAGCAACCCAGAGCCTGCTCCTACACAATGCGTATACTTGGCTTCTGACATGCCAATGACTGCCCAGACACCAACTGAATATTTTGTAATGTAATCAGATGTAACCTAATTTCCTTTCTGTTTTTGGATGAGAATGAGGAATGTAATCAGAATTCACAGTGAATTATATTACACCAAAAAAAAACTTTTGGCATTGTAGATATTTGAGGACTAGGGTCAGATTACAGTGATTTGATGGAAACTCAAAACTTAACCCTCCCGTACACTTTGACCCTTGTATTAATAGTTTTAAAAAATCTGTCTATGAAATATAACTGTCCAACATGTGATGATCATTAATAAATGTAAAGCATCTCATTTTCACATGTGAAGTTCAAGATGACCAAATAGAATTACACGTTCATGTTTGTCCAATTAACTGAAGCATTATTGGTTTTCATTCCAAGCATGCACTAGCGAAGCTAATTGTGTAATATGTACAATCGCAAAGATAGTGGGTGGGTGAATAGAAAATGAAAGGAGAATTAAATATATCCTAATTATTGTCTCTATTTTCCAATTAGCAAATACACATCTGCAAAATGCAAGGTCATACTTAAAACCTAAATGGAATGCGTAACTCCTGCCTGGAGCACAGTCCACTGAGACATTTTGTAATATCATCATCAGGGTTACAGATTGTTCCCTGAGCCTTATGAAAGGTCAATAAATTTATCTCGACTCTTCACAGTACATTTTTGCTGATATATAAGTCCAAAAGAGAGCAAGGTGAATGAATGAGGAAGAAGAGGCAGGGCTCGGAGTACGGAGCAGAAGTAAGGCAAGCCTAGCACCAGCAGCAATTTTCCCCTGTTAATTTCCAAAAGTCTGCTGGATAAGGGAGTAACAGAAGACAAGGAAGTGTAAGCAAGAAAAAGATGAGCTAACCAAGAGGATAAGATTAAAGGATTAGTGGGGCTAACGATATTGCTCAGTGGTAGAGTGCTTGCGAATAATCTTCAGAAAGAAAAAATCAAATCGTACACAACAAAAATTTACCATAGTATTTGTTTTGTTTT